GTGGCGTTACTAGTCTAGCTGTGGGGTTACTAGTCTAGCTGTGGGGTTACTGTTCTAGCTGTGGGGTTAGTTATGACCCTTGTGGGTTTAGCACTTGATTTTGGTTGAAATAATGATAATGTAAAAGTCTCTGTTTTGCAGTGAGTTGTATTTATTATGAATTTTTATGTGAGAAAATTACCTGCATGAGGCTTACAGGGTATTACCTGAATTAATGAGGGGAGACCTGATCGAAGTGTATAAGTGGAAGATAGGTATTAATAAAGGGGATATTAATAAGGTCTTGAGAATGTCTCTCCAAGAGAGAACCCGCAGTAATGGATATAAATTAGATAAGTTTAGATTTAGAAAGGACATAGGAAAGTATTGGTTTGGAAATAGGGTAGTTGATGAGTGGAACAGTCTACCTAGTTGGGTTATTGAGGCTGGGACTTTGGGTAGTTTCAAATTTAGGTTGGATAAGTACATGAGTGGGAGGGGTTGGATTTGAGTGGGACTTTCACATCAGAGCTTATTTCTTGGGTGGCATTGAAAATTGGGTTGGGCAAATGTTTTGTTAGTGGGATGAATTGTAAAGGACCTGCCTAGTATGAGCCAACAGGCCTCCTGCAGTGTTCCTCCTTTCTTATGTTCTTAAGTAATTTGGGCGAGGTAAGTGGGAATTACAGTAGGTCACAGAGCTGTCACTCCCTCGATGCCCACTTCATCATCACTCTCACAAAAAAAACTAGACTTGATATTAAATTAATAATTGCAATATTGAACAGTAATACCAATAATTGTAAATTATAAAATATTGAAATAATGTGGACTATATAGTTTGGCTAGCTGGTTACACAGAATAGAATCATTGTACATAATTTGTAGTGGTGTTATTATAAAAGAAATTCGTACTACCACTTACCATTAATTACTGGATCACAGTTTTTATTTGAACACACCCTAACGCTACCCAGTAGTTTTGATTTTTACGAGGGCCCAGTGCAAAACTCTATACATTATAAAATAAATGGTATAAAATACCGCACAATGGCAATATAAACACAAACTTTTATAATGGACCCTTTTTTACTACGTTTCGCCCACACAGGGGGGCTTTTTCAAGTCAAAAAACAAACTCCTGGGGTGGAAGGAAAACGCGATATTTATACCCGGTGGGGTCAGGTGAAGAATGCTGCACTGATGAGTACCGAGTTGGGTTTGAGTAAAAAAACTTGGGTAGTTTGGGGAAGGAGACTGAAAAGTTTTGAGCAGACCTTCTACGGGTTTTCTTAGGGGGATAGCGATGAAGAAGTTTTTTGGGCAATGGTTAGCTTGTTATAAAAGCCACTATTCGGGTTGAAGTTGTGGCTTCTAAAACATAGCTAAAACCCCTTGCCAAAACTTTTTCATCGCTTCCCACATAAGAACACTGTAGAAGGTCTCTCACAAACTTGTCCAGTCCCCTTTCCCCAAGCTACCCAAGTTTTTAGACTCTAAAACCCCAAACTCGGTACATCACAGATGCAGCTTTCTTCACCTGCCCTTCCCGGACATAAATATCGGCCCCTTCCACCCCGGGTATTTTCTTTTTGTGACTTGAAAAAGCCCTGTGGGGCAAAACGTAGTCAATAAAGGATCACTTTTATACGTTTTTTTATTTTGCTACTATACATATGCAAACTTACTTAGCTAAGGTGTGCTTCGGGGATGAACCAAGTCCTCTATTTTTCCATCCTTGTTTCCCAATTGTAAGGATTTTTCCCCGTATTTACCCCAATTTAACTGGGAACGGTCAGCAATTTTTAAGTTTGGGGTTGGGCAAAAATTCACCAATTGGACTTGAAGACCTTGATTAAATTAAAAACTAACAGACCAGTGTTCCACTTTAAAAATTTACTGTGTGTCCCCCCGTCCACGTCATCCCCCCCTTTTTCTACTCCCACCCTCACTTTAAATTTCTCGAAGGGTCAAATCAGCATCACATTTTAATAAACAAAATTATACTCAAATTTACTCAGGGAAAAATTTTTAAATTCAAAATTTTCCCATATTTTCATATTTTTTTTAAAGGTGAGTTTATCTGCCTTTCCTGTCAATCAACCTAAAGTATTGATCATTTGTTTTAACTTTTTTGTATTTACGAAAACATTGGGGTTTTGGAGCCACTTTGCTTGCTTTGTTTCAGCAATAAAATCTTAATTTTTTAAAGTTCTTTTCGTTAAAACGAATAACATAGAATTTTTTGAGTTTGTACAAATGATATATCTCGCCAACGCATTTTTTTTATGTTTTGGGTATTAAAAAGCAGCCCCTTTTTTTTACGTCACCCCTTCCCACATCAGCCAGAGTCGAAATGTGTCCATACCAGGAATGACACAGGAAAAGACACAGTGTGGTCCGGATACCATTGGGTTTGCTTTGTGACTTTTGTGTTCTGCCCATACAACATTCAACATGGAAAAATCTGAACACCCATCAAATTCTTATTTAGATTAGAATGTCATATCAGGAAAGCGATAACTATAAATTACTAATTTTGCTATTACATGATTAGGCTTTTTCCCCTTGCTTTACTGTGTATAATTTAAAGTTTTTTTGCAATCTAAAGTTTGATCATTTCTTTTTAAGCAAGTTTAAAAAAAAAAAATTACTTTAAGTGGGCCTATATTTAAACCCCCTCTTTCAGCTTTAGAAATAACCACTCAAAAACAACAGCAATACAAAGTCCATGGGCCTACATGAAGAAACTTCAGAAAATCTTTAGCATTATTGAGCTTGGACAATAAGATCATCTTTGCTGTCTTCACACTCATGTTTATTTCCTTTAAATTGTTTTTTCTGAACTTATTAATTACATATATGCCAAAGTATGTGGCCTGCTAGGAACAGTGAAACTATGAATTTTTTACTAATTCAATGAATAAGTGCAATTAAAAAAAAATTGAGCATAAGAAAGAACTGCAAAGGGACTACTGGGAATATCTATATTAGACAGGTCTTATAAAAGATCTGTTTTAAGGTAACAAAAATAAACTCCTTATTAATTAAAATATTTCAAATATTTTAAATATTCAAACAAATTTGGGTTGGATAAATTATGTGGGCAGGAATGGTTGGTTTTGAGAAGGGGACTTCACTGTAATGGTCCAGTAGGCCCTGTTGCAATGTTCCATCATTCTTATGTGTGTTCTTATTACGATTAAGTGCATTAACACTGAAGAAAAATTAATACATTAAATCCAGTTTCATATCTTATTTATGGTAAAGTAGTTTAAAAAATTCGTCACTGTATAATATGAGACTGTGCAAAAAATTTTGGTAAAAATGGACATACAAAGAGTAATAATTCTGTTAAACTGAACACAGAACATATAAAAATTCTGATGAACATTCAGGCTGCGAATTAGTTTTTCTTCTGCTAGTTAAACAGACTACCTGTTTACTATTATCTAGGCTGAGAAACAAAAGAAAGCAAGTTACTAATTAAACATGAAAATTAAGAGCTAGTGCAGTGTGGCACTTCCTCTCTACACTGATTGTATAAGGTAAATAACTTATAACTAATTTCTAGGAGGAAATCAGTATACATACGTATACTGGGGGAGAAAACCAGGACAGTGGGGGTCATGATGCCAGAGACAATGAAGAGAATCTAAGATAATTGTGGAGAAATTTTCTCCAGGAGGAGGGTATCAGCCCCCTTCAGCCCCCTTCAGCCCCTTCAGCCCCTTCAGCCCCTTTCAGCCCTGAGGGGCCCAGCCCTCTCAGAAGGGGCAAATATCTTGTTTACTGCTACAGCGAGTAATTGACCCAGATGCATTTACCAGTATACGACCTGGGGTTTCAAGCGACCGCCGCTCCTTGCAGTCCAGGTTTTGCAGAGTGTATTTTAATAAGAGACAGTAAAATCTCTTACCTTAGTAGGACAATTAAGGAAAATCCTGCTCCCACTTTATTACCATAGTAAAGATAGTGGACATTGTTGTCTATGCTTAAGACAGCAAGAATCAAACATTCTGCTTTGCTTCACTCGAGGAATGGCAAGGAAGCAAAAGTACTAGGTCAGCTTTTTCCTTTGTGCTGGGGGCAGGTGACGGCGTGGGCGTTGTGGCGTCTTCAGATTACTTTGACTCTACTGAGAGTGACACTGACGCCAGGATAACCAATAAAAGAACGATCTGTGCGTTAGTGTGAAAAAGTGTCCCCACAAAACACAATAAACACTTACAGAGAAAGTGTATCAGCTTCTTCAGTGATATTGTGTGAACAATTATTGATGAACATTGTAAAAAACGAGTGTTGCGATCCAACAGAGTGTAGTGCGACATTCTTCAAAGAACACTGTTCTTCAATCAACTCAACGGATATCCGGGCATAATTACAGGTCAGATACATATACCCAGGTAAGTGTTCTAACTCGTGATGTGCTACAATTGGCTGCGCAGTTGAGTATAAAATCGTGAGTTAGTCACTTATCATAAACCCCGGTGATATGCGGACCTTTGAGTCCCCCACACGTAAGTTTGTCAGCAATCAGTGAATGAAATATGCTGACATAAAACCCCCTAGGGGTAATTTATAATCTTACAAATTATAACTCTTTACAGCTCGTTGAGAGATGACTTTGACAGCTTCCCAAGACCTCGTCTGCAGGGGCGGCTGTGCAGGCGATGAGCTGTCTTTCTAAGTTAAGTTTCCCTATATTTAAACTTAGCTGGTAATCCCATTTCTCAACAATAATCATGTGTGACAAAAAAAAAAAAAGATACAATGAATATAGCTTGAGTGCACAGAAGAATGTGTGAATATAATTTTTGTGTGAAGAATTAAAGAATAGGTTTTGTGCATTTAGAAAATCTAATGAATTAGTTTGTGATTATAAAAAAAAACTAATAATACGTACAAATGAAGAATTTTTACTATATAAGATTTGTTTGTTAAGATTTAATGATCAAAATATGTGAAAAAACCTGAGTAAATAAGAAACACGTGTCAAAGAATAGGCTATAAAGACATACCTTATAGACGTGAGATTCCCTGCCATCATTGTCAGGGTAGGAGCCCAGTCTGAAGATCACCTTGTGAAAGGAAATATTCTTAGTGAAAGCAGTCATCGTGCTTGAAATACTTATGTAGATATTATGAGCTCTTGTAACAGTGACTCACTAGGGCAGCCAATAATTTAAGCGGCCACGAGCACTTGGGCCAAATACTAAATACACATAATTCCTATGTGTTGTTACGGCAAGGTGTCGGACACAAGTGACGTTTCAGGATGTGAGGTCAACTAAGAATTATCATGACGCCATGCTGTCACGCAGCACATAGGCTGACATCAAGTCAATTGTTTATTCAGTCATTCATACCTCTGGTACAACTATTCTCATACTCCTTGAGGGATATGATAACAAATGTATCAGGAAACCTATGGAGATGTGAGACATGACAGTAGCATCGGAGTCAGTGGTGGCTGATGCAGCCTTGCCAGTGTAAATGAAAAGTAAAGCGGTGAGCTGCCTAGTACACGGAACAAGGTTCAAGTACAAGGGCAGGAAGAACAGATTAAGGAAAGTACTGCATCATCCACATCTTATGATAAAGCAGAAAATTTTTCAAACTTGTTACACTCGTCAATTGGTAATGTAAATTTGGTTTTATATAAAAAATAATTAATTATCTAATATAAGTAAAGCATCAAAGGTTTCACAAATTCTATACACTTTAATAGTAGTTATTAATGACTGCAATCCGAGAAAGTTACGCATTTTTCACAATTTTATATACCTAGAGTATACCTGAAGAGGGTTTCGGGGGTCATCGCTGCAGGGGTCCGGTCTGAGACCAGGTCTCGTGGTGGATCAGGGTTTTATCAAGCAGGCTGTTACTGGTGGTCACATGCAAACTGACGAACCGCATCCCGGTTGGTCAGGTACTGACTTTAGGTACCTGTCCAGCACCTTCTTGAAGACAGCCAGGGGTCTATTGGTAATCCCCTTTATGTATGCTGGAAGAAGGTAGTTTAACAGTGTTTGGGCCCCTGACACTTACTTGTTGTCTCTTGTGCCACTCGTGGGCCTCTTTTTTTTCATCGGGGGAAATGTTGCATTTTTTTGCCGAATCTTTTGTTTCGTAGGTTTTATCAGGTATCTTTTGTCTGCTTTCCCCAGTGTTTTAGATGTTTTATGGTACTTATGGGTGCGTGAAAGATCTCTGTACTTTTCTCCAGATCAGAAATTTTTTGTCGGCCTTGAAGGTGGCATTTAAATTTTTTCAAGCTTTAACCCGGCCTAGAGAGAAGAGGCGTTTAAAGGGAGAATCATCTTGGGTTGGCGTCCCTATTTTAAAAAGGTTCCCCAAACCCATCCTTTCATTTTTCAAAGCGGGACGATGTAGTTTACATTGTTAGGGGTTTTTTGAGATGAGATATTATCACTCCCAGGTTCTTCACATTATTTTCTCTTTTCTTTTGTTTTATTAGAATTTGTTTTATACTTGATACATTTTTTAAATTTCCTCAAATTTTCCATATTAAAGTATTTTAAAAATTTCCCCTTTCATTGAACTTTATTATTTTCTGGGGCCCCTTTTTATAAGTTTTGGTTTGGGATGTTCATTTTGGGGTCTTGTAGGGCCCTTCGATGGAGGACACTGTCATGGCAATTCGGGGGTCACCCCAAAAGGGAAAGACAGGGAAAACTATGGCTTGCATCTCTTATGTAAGTATGAGGATGAAAAACGGGAAAGGGAGGGGAGTACTGTCCCTTGGGGAAACCAGGCTTTTCCCTTTAGCCCCCCTCAGATTTTCTCTGTTTACTTTTACTCTTTTTTGTTATTTTTTGTTGGAATTTATGGACCCATTTACCAACTTTCCAATTTATCTTTATCACGCTTTTTGTGTCCCTATTTACGGTGGTGGAAATGGTCAAAGGGGTTTCGCAAAGTCTGTGTAAAATACATTCCCATTTTTTTTACCTCTAAAGCTCCAGGCCCCGTGCTGCCCTGGGTTGTTTTTCTGATGGGTATTTTGGGGGTTTGGGGCGTTCGGTTTTCTTAGAACCCTTCCAAAGATTTTTTATAATATGTGATTTTAAAACGTTATCGGTCGTAGTTCTTTCCCCCTTTTGAAAATCTTTGGGGGCGGGTGGGCAATGTCTTTTGTGTTCTTTTGCCCCCGCTCCATAGGGGCTTCTTGCATTTTCTTGTTTGAACCGGAGTTCCACAAGCCCCCGACCCTGGGACAGGGTGCATGTTCATGTCAATAATTCCCTTTTCAAAAGTTTGGGGGGGGTTTTTGGGATAATATAAAAGGGGATTTTTTAATTCCCAAAATTTTGGGGTCTCAGTCTTTAGAAAAAAATTTAGTTTCGGGTTTAAAAAGCCTCATGGAACACTGATTTGTACTGAGGTTTCAGTGTCCCCAGTCATTTTTTTTGCTGCCCATCCGTTTGGGGCCCCAATTTGTCTATGTAGGGGGCCCCGTACTGAATATTTTTTTCCCCTTTAAAGATTTGTAAAAAAAAAAAAAAGTTTTTTTGGGTTTCATTAAATTTTCCCCTTTATAGCTTTAAGTTCTTCCTGGGATTCTTGTTTTCCCCCTTTTCCCTTTTAAAAATCTTCTCTTTCTTTTTTTTTGGGGGAAGGGCCTTTTGAGAGACCTCAAGTCCCAGAGTTATTTTTTTTTTGGGGAAAGGTTGGGAAATCCATTTTTGTTTGGGAAATATTTTTCCGTTATTTTTTAGAACTTTTGGTTGACTTGTTTCCCTTGTATTTTTTAGATACTGAATTTGGGAATTTTGTGAAAGTATTTTTCAAAAATGTTTCATTTTTGCTGGTGGGGAGCCCTGTGCATACAGGGTCTTTTCCTTTTGTTATGTTTTGAGTGTTTGTCTTTGATACAGTCCCTTTTCGTATCAGATCGGGTTTTTAGTGAAGAGAGGTCCAGGGTATTTTCTAGTCATGTAAGCTCTAATTTTTGTGCTTTAAGGTAAAAATTTGGTGCGGGAATTTAAAAAGCTCATGTGTTTTGGTAAATTTTTCACTTTAGCTGCCTCCGGGAATGATCTTGCTAAAAACATTTTTTGCTACATCCTCTGGGGAAGGATTTGGGAGTTTTTCCCAAACACTTTAAATTCTCAAAAGCTCTTCCTGGAATTGTTGGGAAATTGCATCCGGAGGCTTGTATACAATAAAAATTTGGAAAAGTTTTGGTTTTAAATCTTTACCGTAAAAACCCCAAACTACTCATTTGGGGGTGGTTTTAGTAGTTCTGAGCAAATGAGCGACTTTTGTGACGTACACCCAAACCCTTTCCCTTGTTCCCTTTGTTTAGTCGGTTTTCAAATAACCCTTTTTATGCGGTTCTCTGTGAAAGAAAATTGCATTTGTTTTTTTATTGATGGCTTTAGCCCGGGTATGTTTCCCAAAGTAAATGTTGTTATACGATGGAATTTTGGGGTTTTTGTTGTGGCTTTTTTTTATCTGTTTTATGGAAGGGAAAACCCAAATTGGTTTCCCCCTCCACTCCAAAATGTTTTCATTGGGGAAGGATAATCTGTCATTTTCTGCCATTTTTTTTTTTCCTTACTGGCATAAATAGCTTTTCACTGGAGAGGTTTTATCCCTCTTTTGTTTCCTAGGGACGGGTAGATTTGTTTTTTCTTTTCCCTTTTTAGATGTTGAGCGGGGACTGTATATGTTGTTGAATTGTTTTTTCTTGGACTAAGGGAGGGGCCCTTTTTTCTGGGTGAAAAAAATTACTTAAAAAAAGAGTTGCACCCTTTTAAATGTCATGGGGGTTCCCGCATTTTTTGGGATGGTAAAAATGCTGTCCCACTTTTTTTTTCCAAAATATACCTTGCCTGAAACATACCCAAGCCCAAAATTTTCCCAAAGACGGGGTTTTTTTGTTTTTAGGTTTTTTTTTTTGTGGCTTTTTTCCCTAATGGTGTTTTTTTCTTTTTTTCCCTTTTATTACCGTCCCTGTACGGATTTTAGTGATTCCAACAGATTTACTGGTAGGTCAAAAATATTTCCTGGGGCCCCAATTATTCCTTTTTAATCTCCCGGGGCCATTTTTATTTGTTTCCCTTTGTACCCTTTTGGAAATTTTCCCCCTATAATTTGGTTTTTTAACATTTTTTCCCCAATAACGGGGCCCCAACTGGTGATGAAAAAGCATGGTGCACTGTTTATAGGACAAGCCATCCCCATTGGTTCAATGTGTTGCAGGACAAAAAACCAAAAACCTCTCTGATGTATATACTTTACATTCATATTATTTAATATTTTTTTATTTTTTATATATATATATATATATTTATTATATAAATTTAATATATTATATATATATATATATTATATATGGAATCATTAACAACATTAGATAGCGGGGGAAAATCAAAACCCTTTGTTTTTTTAGTCCTCATGGTTGAACGAAAAATTTTCATGTTGCTCTAAACCCACTGCACCATACTTTCTACAAAAATTTTCACGCCCCCGTAGAGCTATTTGTTTTTCTGTGTTTTCCAAGGCATCCCGATGGTATGGGGTACTTCAAAAGAAATTTTTAAATTGTACCCCCCAAATTTGGTGTACTAGCCCCCCACAAGCATTATATATAGTGTTATAACCGGGGGCGAGTTGTTTTTAAATTCAATAAAACACTTAAAATAGCCAAGGGTTTAAAACCCGGGGTTTGTTTTAGCCCGCCTCAGGTGAGCGAAAATTCATGATGTTTTAACCCCTGGCCCATCAATCTTCCCAAAAAATCACGCCCCTAGCAAAAGCTAGGGGGTTTAGGGGCCTCTTTAAATTTTTTCGCTCCCCACTAACCCGGAAAAAACCGGGGGTTTCCCGATCCCTCTGTAGTCCCCGGTGTTATTGATTAAAATCCCACTTTTCCCAGGGGTTTTCCAAAAATTTTTTCAGGGTTTTTTTTGGGTTTATGGGGGCCCATCCCTATCTCTCAATGACTCCCTTTTAAAAATGTTACAACATATTAAAAAAAAAAATTGTTTTTCTATTTTTTTCCAACGGGCACGTCTTTTTAGTGTGTTAAATTAGTTCATTTTTCAGAGTTT